GGGCAGGGAGGAGGTCAGGGCACTGTGGGAGTCCTTAGCTCGGTAGATGTGATACTGCTTGCCTGCAGAGCTGGAGAAATGCTATCACATGGCAACATCCCCAAGGACCTGGGGCTGCAACCCTGGGAACTTGTGGAACACAGAGTCCTTACATTTCTGGAGATAGGACACAGCACTACAAAGTCGACTTGGAAAATGGATAGTATGTATATACTGCATTGCTAAGAAACTTGATAGAAAAGAGCTGGGTGGCTCAGCATCATGCTTTCTAAGTTTTGAGGTTCTCTTTGAGGACCCACACAGCCTCATGTAGTAGAAGTAGAAATTTGTCGCTTATACACTGTCAGTGGGAATGTAAAATAGTTCAAACCCTATGGAAAGCAGTATGGAGATTTCTCAAAAACTAAAAATAGCACCCATTCGACCCAGCAATCCCACTATTGGGTATCTACCCAAAGGAAAATAAATCATTTTATCAAAGACACCTGCGTCAGGGACAGTGACTCATACCTGTAATCCCAGAACTTTGGGAGCCAGAGCTAGGTGGATTGTCTGAGCCCAGAAGTTCCAGACCAGCCCGGACAACATGGCAAAATGCCATCTCTATAAAACAACACAAAAGGCAGCCATGCATGGTGGCATGCACCTGTAGTAGCAGCTACACAGGAGGCTGAGATGGGAGGACTGACTGATCTGAGGAGGTGGAGGCTGCAGTGAGCTGTGATCCAGCCTGGGTGGCAAAACAAGACCCCTGCACTCATGTTTATGGTAGCACTATTCACAATAGGAAAGTCACAGAATCAATCTAAGCGTTCATCAACAGTTGATTGGATAAAGAAAATGTGGTGTATGTATACCATGGAATACTATCTATGTAGCCATAAAAAATAATGAAATCATGTCCTTCACAACATGGATGGAGCAGAAGGCCATTATTCTAAGTGAAATATCTTAGAAACAGAAAATCAAATACTACATGTTCTCACTTATAGGTGGGAGCTAAACAATGGGTACACATGGACATAAAGATGGGAATAACAGACACTGGGGACTCCAGAAGTGGGGAGGGTGGGAGGAATTGAGGGTTGAATACCTACCTGTTGGGTACTAGATTCACTCTCTGGGCGATGGGTCCATTAGAAGCCCAAACCAGAGTATTACACAATATACCCATGTAACAAACCTGCACGTTTATCCCTTGAATCTAAAATGAAATTAAATTTAAAAAGAAGTAGAAGCTCGGGATATAAATGACAACATGCCTAGCTTTCAAGGCAAGATGTTTTGGGGACATTAGTGAGGACGCCACTGTCAGGACACAGTTTTTCCTTCCAGATGTTCATAATCCCAGCATTGGAATGAATTCTCTCTAGTCTTACATTCCAAGCCATAGTTGGCCATGGGTAGTAAAAACGAAATCTGGGGGTAAGAAAGTATGCTGAAAGCATTCTTTCATTTAGAAAACTTTTCTGTCTAATTATCCTTGGCTGTCAATTAAAAGTGAGACACTTCAGACAAACATCTCTCAGAAAATTTAAAAAAAAAAATTTTTTTTTAATGAGGAAAAGCAAATTGTGAATGGATAATTTGTCAACAGGTAGTCTTCATTGTAGTAAATAGTATCCTGGGCTTTTCTTGGGGAAATGCCCAAATGTCCGCACTTGCAGTTCTTTTCTCTGGGATCATATAGTTTCTTCAGAGAATGCTCTTGAAACCTTGACTGTGTGTGTAGGGTGTGGTGGGGGAGAGGTAGGTTATAAACCTAGATGCTCAATTAAAGAGAACATGACAGGCCGGGCGCGGTGGCTCAAGCCTGTAATCCCAGCACTTTGGGAGGCCGAGGCGGGTGGATCACAAGGTCAAGAGATCGAGACCATCCTGGTCAACACGGTGAAACCCCGTCTCTACTAAAAATACAAAAAATTAGCTGGGCATGGTGGCGCGTGCCTGTAATCCCAGCTACTCAGGAGGCTGAGGCAGGAGAATTGCCTGAACCCAGGAGGCGGAGGTTGTGGTGAGCCGAGATTGTGCCATTGCACTCCAGCCTGGGTAACAAGAGCGAAACTCTGTCCCAAAAAAAAAAAAAAAAAAAAAAAAAGAGAGAACATGACAGGGGAAGAAGGGCAACACTCCTGCAGTAAATATATAGACTTTCACATAATTTTTTCTTTATTTGATGCTGTGCCTACTTTCTCTGAGTTTGGGCCTTCATTGGTTCAATTTACCCAGAAAACAAAATTTCCATCTTCTGTGAGATGGAATTATCTGGCTTCATAGAGTGGAAGAGAGATCCTGGACACCCAACAACTCTGAACACAGACTTTAATGAATCTCACATCTCTAATCCTATACCTTCCTACCTTTCCTGGGAATCTTCTGTTTACAAAAATTTTGCCTCTTACAGGCTGTATATCAAGTGGGTTTGTCTCTCTTTGGGATAACCCCTTGCAGACATTTAGCATGTAACTTTTTCTAATCTATGAATTCATTTGTCATTTCTCCGTTTTGGTGTCCCAGTAATGGGTTGACATCTCTCATCCATTGTCTCACCTCCTATTCTCTTTGTCCTTAGAGGTTAACATCTTTTAAAAATCCTTTGTGTTATTTTATTTAGCAGCCTCGTAGGTAAAGCAGAGAGGATGAGAACAATCTGCAATTTGAAAATAGAAAACTTCATTAGGATTTTTAAATGCTTGATGTCATATTTGAGGAATTTTTTTCTATGTTTTGATTTCATTCTCAGGAAAGGGAAGGGGGGCAAATGGGCTTAGTTTTCTTTGTCTTGCTCTGTCATCCAGGCCGGAAAGCAGTGGCACAATCATGGGTCACTGTAGCCTCAGCCTTTCAGGATGAAGTAATCCTCCCACTTTAGCCTCCCAAGTACCTGGGCCAGAGGTATACGCCACCACACCCAGCTAATTTTTATTATTTTTTGTAGAGACAGAGTCTTACTGTGTTGCCCAGGCTGGTCTCAAATTCCTGGGCTCAAGTGATACTCCCACCTCAGCTTCCCAAAGTGCTGGGATTACAGGAATGAGCCACCGTACTCAGCCCAGAAATTATTTAAATAACATATTAAGTAGATTTTGCCATAATAACCTAATATAAATTAGAAATTTCCTGGCCCGGCGTGGTGGCTCACACCTGTAATCCCAGCACTTTGGGAGGCTAAAGCAGGCAGATCACCTGAGGTCGGGAGTGCAAGGCCAGCCTGACCCACATAGAGGAGACCCCATCTCTACTAAAAATACATAATTAGCCAGAAATAGTGGTGCATGCTTATAATCCCAGCTACTTGTGAGGCTGAGGCAGGAGAATCACTTGAACACGGGAGCTGGAAGTTGCAGTGAGCCGAGATCGTGCCATTACACTGCAGCCTGGGAAATGAGCAAAACTCCATCTCAAGCAAAAAAAAAAAAAAGCTACTATGATTTGAGCAGTCCCTGCAAATGGGGCACTGTTTGTGGTCTATGAATACAGCAGGAAGATGATGATGAGCCAGTTGGAAGCAGACTGAAGTGTCTTGGTGAACCTGGATCCGAGTCCATGAGTCTGAGGACTACAGTTCATCACAGGGTTCAACAGAGTACAAGACCAATGCGAATTCTGACTTCATTGGAATTTGGTTTTATCTTCCCTTCTTCTGCCCTAAACCTTAACTTTATGGAAGGGCCTCTATTTTACATCATATAATTTCTGCCTATAATTGTATTGAAATAGAAAAGGTGCTGCTCTTGCCTTTGCTGGGAGATACAGGGTGGACTGGTTGGCCCTATGTACCTAATCTGAAAAACTAAGTATCACTCTGTCAGGGCCTTTGCATAAACCTGTTTGTGTGTACATGCAGTTTGGATGGTAATATGTTGTGAGTAAAACAATTTGATTCTATGTATAATCTCAAATATCACCCCGAAAAACCCAGAATTGACCATATTTTGTGAAATAGGTATGAATGATTGCGTAGGATCTCTCTTTGTTTTTTGGGGGACAGAGTCTCACTCTGTCACCCAGGCTGGTGTGCTGTGGGGAGTCACATCTTAGCTCATTGCAATCTCTGCCTCCCCGGTTCAAGCAATTCTCCCACCATAGCCTCCTGAATAGCTGGGACTACAGGCACCCGCCACCATGCCTGGCCGATTTTTTATTTTTAGTAGAGATGAGGTTTCACCATGTTGGCCAGGCTGGTCTTGAATGCCTGACTTCAAGTGATCTGCCTGTCTTGGCCTCCCAAAGTGCTGGAATGACAGGCAGGAGCCACCATACCTGGCCAGGACCTCTTTAAAGTCTGCTTAACATGTGCACTACATTAGGCAGTTAAAGTTTTGAAAAGTCTTCATGTGGTGGTTGAAAACCAAAATACTCTGTATTTTTAAGAGGAGAAGGTGCCTGCCCACAGGTGTGGCTTTGACATTCTTGAGTTAAAGTTTCAGAGTAAGCATTGTGTATTTTCCCAAGAAGCAATACCCTTACAATAGTGCTATCCATTTTCAAAGTGAGATTATATTCTGCATCCTGCCTATATGGTTAGGGGTGGTCTAGAGTATCATCAGGCCTTGGGGAATCAGCACAGCCTTCCTGCACCAGCTTCCTTTCTCCCTCTCAAAGGAGCTGGAGCTGTACAGCTATGCTTTGATGAAGACCCATGTGGCTGATAACAGTTCTTAGCTTCCAGTGCCTGGGTCCTGGCCTGGGTAGGATCCTAGGATGTTCTATTGGCCCATATCGGGGTTGTGGATGCATTTTGGGTGACTCACTGCCTCCATCAGCCAGAAACCCTCCTGGGGAACAGAAAGTGCCAAAGCTAGGAGAAGCTTTTGTTCCCTGTCTGCTGCTAACAACACTTGTGAGTAAAAGTCATCTACTCTCAGGTAGAACTAAACAGAACTTAGTGCCTTCACGCCACAGTGAGTCATGTTAGGGACAAGCTCTTTTTGAAATTTACTGTAAGGTCCATAATACCTTCCCATGACTTCACAGTGCTAGAGTCTTCTAAATTTGGTACTGGCTAACAGTAAATTTTAATGATAACTGTGTATGGGATGTGACTAAGCAACTGTGTATGGGATGTTCATGTGATGAAACATAAGAAAAGTAATTTTATTAAACTATTTACCATATATATATATATATATATATATGTATATGTACACTTACAAAACCCCTCCAAAACAAAGAACAACTCCCCACCTCAAAGTGTAGTTCATCTATCTGATCCCCACAGACTTGGAGATAAGCAACTGTTCTGTGGCCATGTCATTCTCGTCACCAGTAAAGTAAGCCCCAACACTCTGTGTTGCTCCAAGACCACCAGCAGAGTCTGTTTCAGTAACAAGTTTTCTTAAGCATCCTCTAAAGCTGAAAAGAAGTAGGCTACCAGTCTTAATAATAGTCTGTACCATGTGTGTTTATCACTTGGCAGAATGTAATTCCTGTGAGAAACTTTGTTTACTCAAGCTTTTTGCTATCTTTGAAGCCTCTGTGGTAACTCTAGCCTTAGTGCCAGAAGCAAGAGGGTCAGGGAAATGAGAAATTGACCAATAAAGGCTGCTGTGGACATTTAGGGGAGGGGAGGCTCAGTGTCAGGCCTGGTGTGCCCCACAGCTATGGTTGTTGGTCTTCCATTTATTTACTTTTACTTTAAAAGAAAATCATGGTTATATTAAAGTTATTTATAAATTTAAGTTATATATTCCATACTTAAATGGAGAGTAGCTATGGAGTGGTGCTTCATCAGAGCAGGCCTATAATGAACAGAAAATGGGACTGGCGTTTAACAGTAAGTGGATCATTTCAGAGTCTACCATCCCCCTGCCTGGCACCTGTGAGCTAGTCTAAGTTAACTTTGTTGTCAGTCAGCATAATTTCTTACATGTCATCCATTAAAGACTTAACTCAATACCTTCAACAAAAATAGTATGAGGCAAGTAAGAGGGGTGGGAGTCACCTAAAATGTGATTTAAAAAAAATAAAAAATAAAAATAAATAAATAAAAAGGGGTGGGAGTGAGGAATCAAAATCTAAGTCAGGAGAATTGTTTTCTTGTCCTATTCGCTTAATTTATGGTTCAATATTTGGGTATTATTTGTATCATTTCAGATCTCCAAACAAAAGCATAGCATTTGAAATACCGTGTTTAAAGAAATTTGAGGGTTCTATCACTAAATTATCTATATAATACGTCTTTAACTCAGACCATTTACAGTGTAGTGTATTGAGCTCTGACTGTTCAGACACTAATGGTGCCTGGTTTCTCTCTTCAAGGATCTGACAGTCTAGATGTTTGTTCTGTAGTTAGGAGTGATATTTCAAAATAAAATTTAGAAGGAAAAAGTGGAATCCAAATTTTATACTCTCTGTGTGTCATCAGTGATGGATTTAGGGAACTGTCTCTGAAGTTAGGGAACTGTCCCCTTAGTTGTGTTTTTGTATTGTGGCTTTTTGTATTCTTTAAGTTAGTGCCATGGTTTTTGTTTCCAAGATTTAAATTGATCAAATCATTTTTCTGATGCCTAGCCTTATTTTAAATTTTTCTTCACTTCCACATAGCATATTTTGTCCCTTAACTTTGAAAAATCTTTTCTGTAATTTATTACACCCTTTGGTCTACTTTCAAGGCCAAATGGTCTGCATCTTGCATTGCCGAATGATATTATAGTTAGAAATTCATTCTTTGTCCTAGCAATCACTGGCTGCTAAGCAGTAGTAATCAGGTGTATGTGATATCTCAGAAGGGTCATATCTGGCAATGGAGTATCAAACCTGCAGATTTTCTTCATGATCTTCTTGCTGAACTCAGAAGATATGTAGGTTCTCTTTCTTCAGGCCCAGTCCTCTAAGGAGGGGTGATAATTATTTCCAGGAAGTGGTTGTGTGCATAAAACTACTGGAGATTTTGGCTCAAGACCAGAAAGTATCCCTCTGCCCAGGGCCTGCATTTCCAGCTTGAGCAACTCCTCAACTTTGAAATTTCTGTTTTCAAAGTCTATAATTCTCTACTCTCTCTGATCTCTCTAGATTCATGTGAAATAGGCCAAAAGTCTTCTCTGAGATTCATTTATTCATGTGAAATAGGCCAGAAGTCTTCCCTGTGATTCATTCTAGAAAGCAAATTATTTCACTGTTGAAACTGAAAGAAGTTAGTTAGCCTGCCTTAGGTAGATAGCAAGGGAATGGTCCCTGGAGAGCCCCCGGCCCATGGGTCACTGTCTCATCCCGACATAACATAAAAAGCAGCCTGGGAAAAAATTCAAGCTGCAGGCACTGATAAGGAACTAGCACAGGGTGTTGTGCCCAGAGACATGCCCACGGCTGCACAGATAGAGAAACCTTGGCCCATTTGGATAAAAACTTGCACAGACCTCAGGCTCACTCAGATAAGGGAACAAGGCCTGACCTAGAAATAAAAACTTGCAGAGACTTCCGGACCACTCAGATAAGAACAAGGCCTGATATAGAAATAGAAACTTGCACAGACCTCGGGACCACTCAGATAAGGGAACAAGGCCTGACATAGAAATAAAAACTCGTGTAGGCCTCCGGCTCACTCAGATAAGGAGGGGACAAGACCTGGCATAGAAATGCCTTTGTTCTTTGTATCGTCTGCAGGCTCCCAGGAAGAAGTTTCTTCCCCCTTTGTGGGCAAGGGCACAGTGGGCTCCAGTGGGTTCCAATGGGTACTTTCCTTTCTTTTCTGGACTGTAAGCCTGGGCTATATGAATCATCACTGAAGCCCCTGATTGTTCCTTACCCAAGGTCCCGGGCCAATCTTCCTGGTTGGTCCCGGGTCAAGCTGAATCACATGTTCTCCAAGGCAGCCCTGGGACTAGGCACATTCCTTCCCCTTCCCAGCCCCTAACAACCCTGGACCCCAACCTCACACGGGACACCCTGTTCAGGCCCCCCTCTCTGCTGACAGGGAGCTTTCTTCTTTTGCTTATAAAACTTTATCTCCAAACTCACCTTTGCATCTTCTTGGAGGTAAGACAAATAACTCTGGGTGTTATCTCACACAACTAGAGACTGTTACATCTTGGTGCATTGCTGAGACTACAACAAAACTATAATCAGGGTCTGTGGCCTGCCTCCTGAGCTCTACTGTCCACACTGTTCGTGACTTCCTCCTAATGCCAGTATGTAAATACAGCTTCATGTTAATGACGTTTAAAAGGTAGACTGCTATCTTCCTATTTCCCAGACGTCTTCAAGGTTGGTGACATCACCAGTACTGAAGCTCTATTCCCTACATGAGGCTTAGTAGATTTTTCAAAATCAGTTCAGGCTGGCTTTAGTCTGCATGTTGAGAAGAAAAAATATCACAGGTGGGTAAGTAGTTTTGTAAACAATTGATGTCTAAACAATCATGCATATTCTGCCTGTGAAAATAATGTACCTAGAAAGGGTATTTTTATTTCTTGCACAGGGAAGCCAGATAATGATGTATATAGCTAGTACTTCTACCGCAGCCTGAAGAAGTTTCACTGGGTCCTCCTCAACAACCTGATCTCTCAGCAGACATGAACTAGGGCATCTCTCCACAGATCTTCTTTAATCCTTGATTTACAAACAGATCTTTTGTGCATTTTGAAGAAGTGTGCTTTTCTGACTTTGGAGAAATGGTGGACTCACTTCTAGCCAGCGCTCAGGGCTCCTCATCCAGGTTCCCCATGATGGCATAAAAAAGCCTTCTCCAACTTTTTGGTACTGGACTCAGGCACTCATTTAGACAGAGAGAGGCAGCTCAGGAAGGTTAATTAGTCTTCTGTTCTGTCTGCAGCCTGCTGCAGCTCTGGTGAATGCATTATGGCATTTATATTTCTGCTCTCTGCTTCTGTTTCTTTGTTTGGCTCCCCTCTTCTCTTTGCCATCTGGAGTCAAAGCCGATCCACGTTGATAAGACGCTTGCTCTATGTCCAAGTGTTGGTGATTGTCCAGGTTGATTCTCTTCTCTGCCTGCGTCAGAGCTGGGCAGGAAGGCTCCTAGGTTCTGCGTTTTCTGTCCTGGAGAAAAGATCTAAAGGCCTTGTAGAAGTTAAACATGTTTGGCAAGAATATGTCATTGGTGATTTTCTGTGCTTTATATTCTGTCACATATAGAATTTTCTAAAAATAAGACCTGTTGGACCTCAGGTTCACAGAATTGGATTATGACAGATTCTCATCGTTAGTCTATACATGGCCTGCTTTATTTCTTTACTTAACTATCCAGTGTCAGATTTAAAATCCTCAATACTTGGTTGCATATCCCTAGGCTCTGTACTAGGTGTGTGACCTTAGTCAAGTTTTCTAACTCTGTGTATTGTTTTCCTCAACAGTGAAATGAGGATAATTATCTCATAGAGCCATGTGAGAATTAAATGAGTTAATATATGCACAGCAGTTAATGTGGTGCCTGGTATCTGGTAAACTGTGTATGTGTTGGCTTTTATATTATCTCTGGTTTCCATCTATGATCCTTTGCCTTATACCTGAAATAACTCTTTTAGAATGTCCTTTAATATGGGTCTGCTAGTGACAAAGACTCTTCATTTTTGTCTTAAATTGTCTTTCACTTTCATTCTTTTAAATTAATTTTTTCTAGTTTTGCAATTTAAAATTACTACTGAGGATGAATTTTTTCAGGGTGTTGCTTAGCTGTCTATGGATCTTTTTAAAAAATGAGTTCACCCAGCCTGGACAACATTGGGAGACCTCATCTCTAAAAAAATAAAAAATATTAGCTGAGTGTGATGGTGTGTGCCTGTGGCTCCAGCTACTTGGGAGGCTGAGGTGGGAAAATTGTTTGGGCCCAGGAGGTCAAGGCTGTGGTGAGCCAATGTCATACCATTGCACTCCAGGCTGGGTGACACAGTGAGACCCTGTCTCAAAAAAAAAAAAAAAATAGAAAAAGAAAAAAGCTCATTTTTCCCTAATTTCTTTTGTTTTTGTGGTAAAATATATATAACATAAAATTTGCCATTTTAATCACTTTCAGTGTACAATTGAGTGGCATTAATTACATTTGCAGTGTTGTACAACCATCACCCCTACCTATTCCCAAAATTTTCATCACCCCAACAGAAATTTGGTACCCATTAAAGCAATAATTCCCCACTCTTCTCATCTCTGGTAATCTCTAATCTGCTTTCTGTCCCTTTGAATTTGTCTCTTTTAGACATTTCATATAAATAGAATCATACAATATCTTTTTGTGTTTGGCTTATTTCACTTGGCATAATGTTTTCATTTTGATTAGATAATAAGTTACACGACTCAAACAACTATATAAAACTTACTCTGAGAAGTCTTACTCCCACCCACCGCACATTACTTCTTTACACTTCATTTCCTATAGATAGATAATTTTTTAGTTTTTATCTTGATAGTGTTTTTCTTTTGTTGTTGCTATTTGTTTTTGAGACAGTCTTGCTCTGTTGCCCAGGCTGGGGCACAGTGGCATGATCTCGGCTCACTGCAACCTCTGCCCTCTGGGTTCAAGTGATTCTCCTGCCTCAGCCTCCTAAGTAGCTGGGATTACAGGCCCATACCACCACTCTGAGGTACTTTTTTGTATTTTTAGTAGAGATGGGGTCTCGCTATGTTGGCTAGGCTGGTCTCAAACTCCTGGCCTCAAGAGACTTGCCCGCCTTGGTCCAAAGTGCTGGGATTGCAGGTGTAAGTCACTGTATCCAGCTATCATGACAGTATTTTTATGCACAAGTATGAATATATGTTCTATGTCTCCTTTTATAACAGAAAATGTAGCTATTTTAGCCTGAGTCTTCCCAAAAGCAGAGTATAAGACAAGGGGCTAGGCCAGGTTCAGTGGCTCCCACCTATAATCCCAGCACTTTGGGAGACTGAGTCGGATGGATTGCTTGAGCCCAGGAGTTCAAGATCAGCCTGAGCAACATGGCAAATCCTTGTCTTTACAAAATAGAAAAACAATCAGCTTATAGTCCTAGCTACTTGGGAGGCTGAGATAGGAGGATTGTTTGAGCCTGGGGAGGTTGAGGCTACAGTGGGTCATGATTGTGCTACTGCACACCAGCCTTGATGACAGAGTGAGACACTGTCTCAAAAAAGACTAAATATGACAAAGGGCTTTTATACCACTAACATATTAGGAAGTATAATCCCAGGTAACAAATGAGGGGCCAGGGGAGTGCAGCTGGAAAGGAGGAAGAGCCAATTTGAGGGCACATTACTGAATTGGTTATTAATTGCAACTGATTTCTTAAATCCAGTTCTCCAAGAAGTCATATATATTCTGTCTGAGGGGAGCCAGTTGGAGGAGTGGTGAGAAGGAAATTTTATTTTTTATCCTCATCTTCCTCTGCTCAAAGTTTCAGCACACAGACATTAACTACCCCACACTTCTGAATTGTGTATATGTGGGTGCTGAGCAAGGTTCCATGGCATCCTGTTAAATTGGTTTCAACAGGAAAGCCTTTGGGTGACAGCCAGATGACCTGTGACATAGTTATGAGGGGAAAAGTACTGTTAAGGTTGTAGCTATGTGAAGTCTGTGCCCACATGGAGCTGGCTTCCAGTATTCATGCCTGAAACACAAGATAGGCAAGCTAAGAACATCTGAAATGGAGCATAAGAGGTATCTGATATAGTTCATCCACTGCACCACTATGGGCCTGCTCATATTCTCTGTTATATCCAGCTTCTATGCTATTATTCAATATGAAACCTCCATTTTGTGTGTGTGTGTGTGTGTGTGTGTGAGAGAGAGAGAGAGAGAGAGAGAGAGAGAGAGAGAGTAGAGAGTATGCCCTCACTTCTTATCTGACAGCAGAGGAGTAAGTCCAATCCACAAAAGATTTTCCTTTGAAGTATAACCAAGCACAATTTCTAAAGAGATTTAAGAGTTAGTGAAACAAGCTACAGTTCCTTCTGGACCTGCTTAGAGATAAGACATTTACCTCTGAGGAGTTTAAGACCTTAATGCCTTGTCTTTGTCATGGTTGCTTCGGTTGCTCATTTACCATTGACGCTGGCAATGGAAACACCAAGAGATACCCTAGTGAATCTCCTGAATTCCAGACATATCCTTTATGGAACGAATTATGTTGGAGCAACACAAGCTTCTCATGATAACCAGAGACACTTACCACCATAATCACATTAGCTCCTTTTTTGCTTGTCAACTGGTATGAACAGCTCAACATGATCAGGTGGTAACCAGGTTCAGATTCAACTGAAATGCATCGCTTCTCAGGCTTTTGGCTAAGATCAAGTGCAGATTCAACTGAAATGCAGCAGAGCCTAGAGATTTCATGGATGGGAAGCAAAAATGCAATCAGATCACTGGAAGCATTGGTGGGAGGAGTTAATCCTATTCCACCACTTAGTTCGTGGACTCATGTATTCTAACTACTTGGGATGGAATTGTTGGTTCAGCTCCTATTCTGCATTTTAGAGGACAGTATTCCCAATCTTTTAGAGTGATCTCCAAAGCTAGTGCCTTAGCAAAGCTTTTTAATAGACCCTGCCATGATTTATTGGCTCATTGTTTGATGGTGGTGGGAGGTAAAGGCATAAATTATAAAATTTGTGAATCTCTTGTCATGCATTCAGTGTCCTATATCTATCTATTTAATTTGCCACAAATGGATCCCTCAGTCTAAGGCAGTGTTTTATAGGATACCTTGTTGATGCATCATTCTGTAAGCCTTTGAATAATATCACTGTCAGAAGAATTGTGAAGCGAGGGGGAAAAAAACACTTTCTAGAATAGGTATCAATACCAGTAAGGATGAATTACTGCCCTATCCAGAGTGATGAGAGTCTGATAAAATCAACTTGCCATTAAGTGGCAGACTGGTTTCCTCAAAGAATGATACTGAGGATTCAGCATTCTGCTGACATTCAGAAGGGGTAATATTCTGCAAAGGAAAAACTCAAATAATTAAGATGAAAAGAAAGAAAGAAACAAAAACCCAGAAGGGGTAATAGATCAGCCATAGTGAGAGGAAGCCCCTCTGCTATCCCCATACAAAATCTCCATCTACCCCCATGGCCTCCCTGCTTACCAACTCATTGTCCCAGTAGTGGGATGGCTGAGGATGGAGGCTGACTGATAGCTACAGAAGTCATTCAATTCACCTGGTTGTTGCAGGCCTCTCCTATGGTAGAATTATCTTGTGAGCATTAATGTGAGATGCAAAGATGTTTTTATGCTGGTTTTTTTTGCCCACTTTCTAGTCTTTCCATATATATTTTCCCCAGTTTTCTTGTCTCTAATATAATAATTGTGTTTCCTCTAGATGCTAGACCAACCAGCCAATCCCTTTGCCACTGCTACTGTCTACATATGGCCTTACCTCAGACCACTTCTCTTTCCATTAAGAGTGCATGGCCAAGTGTACTTCTTACAGCTCTGCTTACATAGAGGGTTTTCCTTTGCCACTGTCCTTCAGGTTCCCCCTTGAGAGTAACTTAGCAGTTAAGCATTTTTGGCTTGCACCAACATAGGTACCAACCACTTATAAACTGGGACCAAGATCTTTTCTCCTCAGTTGGTTGATCATAGGGAATTTTCCAGTGAAAATATAGGTGTGAATTGTGAATTGCTTTGGTACAGTAGAGGTTGGTGAAAGGAGATTCTAGATCATGTGTTTATGAAATTTGTTCTGGGCCTGCTTGGAGCCAATCCTGAATGTACTATTTCTCTTATACAAAGGGTTTCTCTTATACCTATCTAACCTTATGATCTAGTAAATCTGATGATACCAAGTTCTTGTTGGCAGCTCTGATGACATAATTATTTGGTGTCTCATATAGTTTGGATACTTGTCCCCACCAAAATCGCTTGTTGAATTTTGATTTCCAGTGTTGGAGATGGGGCCTGGTGGGAGGTGTTTGGATCATGGGGGTGGACCCCTCGTGGCTTGGTGCTGTCCTCACAGTAGTGAGTTCTTGTGAGATCTGCTTGTTTAAAGTGTGTGGCACCTCTTTTATGCTCTCTCTTTCTCCTGCTCTTGCTATATGATATGCAAGCTCCCTCTTCACCTTCTGCCATGAGTAAAAGCTCCCTGAGGCCTCCCCAAAAAAATAAGCAGATGCTGGCACCATGCTTGTACAGCCTGTAGAATTATGAGCCATTTAAACCTCTTTTCTTTATAAATTACCCAGTCACAGGTATTTCTTTTATTTCTATTTCTAGCAAAACAAGAACAACCTAACACAGTGTCCCATTGTCATCTATTCGGTCTCTACTATGGTTCAGGAGCATGATAGAATCTATTTATAAGCACTGAGAAATTACCTACTTTTGAAGGCATGGGTCTATACCATTTAGATTTATCATTTATATCATTAAAAGATCTGCACTTTAGCTTTCCTATTGTGCCAATCACAAACTCCACACAGCATCGTTATCCATCATGGGCATTACTAGCAACATCAGAGTGGATGGATTGTGTCAGATGGATGGTATCATAGCCTGGACCTCTTATTCCAGAACCTTCTCAAACCTGATAGCATTCTGAGTTCCAGATGTGGTATATGTTATCTCTAAAATCCAAAGAGACTATGCTTCTTTCTTAATGGTAAGAAATACAAGTGATAATGACTTATATTTTATCTCAGAGGGTATTTCTTTGCATGCCCAAGACCCCTAGAATCATCACTGATACAACGGTCATTTGAGTATTCATAGGGTTAGTCTTTTACTCTTTGACATGCTAGGCCATCTAGGGTCCTTGCTACTTACTACTCACTAAGTCCAATTAGAATGATGTCATCTATGCAGTGACCTAGCATTATGTTCTATATAATGTTCAATGTTGAAATCTTTGTGGAGTACATTATGAAAGAAAGCAAGAGAGTTAACATACCTTTGGAACAAGATAGTTGAATGTGTTCTTTTTTCTTGATATGAGAAGATGATGAACTGCTTTTGATTTTATTCCCTGGTATAGTTTAAGACAAGTGTATTCACCAGAAAAATAACCACCTACCAAGGTGCCAAAGTTATATTGATCTGGCATGACAGCTGCAATTGGAGCTACCACTTGGTTAAGTAAGTATATTGCAGTCCATTGTCATCACTCCAATATGTCTAGTTTTTGCAGAGATTGAACAAATGAATTAAATGGGAATTTGATGGGGACTATCACCTCTGCACACTTTAAACCTCAGGAGGTAGTGTTAATCTGTGAAAATCCTCCTGGGATGCAGCATTACTTATGATTTACTATCTTGGCTAGGGAAAGGGAAATTTCAGGGTTTCCACTATAATGTCTCTTACTCTCTTATTTGTCAGGGATTAAATAAAAAGTTTTGACATCAGAGATTCCTGAGACCCCAGGTTTGGTAATTTGCTAAGACTCACAAAACTCAGCATGTAGTCATACTCATGGCTGTGATATATTACAGCAAAGGGATACAAGGCAAACACTGAGCAAGGGAAAAAGGTAAATCAGATAAAGTCTAGAGGAGACCAGGTATAAACTTCCAAGAATCCTCTCCCATTAGAGTCACACAGGTTATGATTAAATCCTTCTGCATCAAATTGCAACAAAAAGTGTAAAGTGTTATCTACCAGGGAAGCTTGCCTAAACCTAGGAATTCAGGGTTTTTATTGCAGACTGGTTATGTGGGTATCTTCTGCCTACATAGTAGGTAGCAAAATCCCAGACTCCCAGAAGAAAAGCAGAAGTTCGGCATAAGTCACATTGTTTGTATACACAGTTTAGGCACAGAAGACCACCTTTATTTGTTATGAAATGATGTGGACACTTTCAAAATCCAAGTCTTAAATGCAAGCCAAGGGCCTACCTGGTAAGCAGGCCTTTCGAAGGCTAGTAGTCTCAGGTCTGTTATGTTAACTCTTTTCTTCCATCCACTTGGTTATTGTCCAAGGTATCTTTACAAAAATTATTATCAATAGGACCCCACATCCCAGGGTGAGATCAGCCTACAGTATTGGCCTCAGTTATGTCCTTCATGGCTTCTAGATCTGGCCAATTAAAACAAATCCCGGGGCTGGGTGCAGTGGCTCATGCCTGTAATTCCAGCACTTTGGGAGGCCAAGGTGAGTGGACCACCTGAGGTCAAAAGTTTGAGACTAGCCTGATCAACATGATGAAACCCCATCTCTATTTACAAAAAATTAGCTGGGCGTGGTCGCTAATTTAAATCCCAGCTACTCAGGAGGCTGAGGCAGGAGAATCACTTGAACCCAGGAGGCAGAGGTTGTAGTGAGCCAAGATTGTGCCATTGCACTCCAGCCTGGGCAGCAAGAGTGAAACTCCGTGTCAAAAAAACAAAACAAAAAAATCTCATTAACCATAAAGATCTATCTGAGAAAGCCAAGTGACTTCCTCCTTCAGTTTTTGCATTAACCTTTTTTGTTCTTTTAACCTGGCCCAAGACATCAACTCAGGCACAGCACAACTCTGACCAGTAAATTAAAGTTAACTCAAATGCCTTGTAGGGTTGAGACAGTGTCATGAGAGTCAGGTACCCACAAAAGAAATATAAGCCCAGAGGGTACACACAGTACCCCTGGAAACAAAGAGTTTTTAGTTGTTATGACACCCCAAGCAGGACATACATTAGTCAGACAATAAGGTTAAGAAAACCTCTAAAGTAACCTTCCACTGTGGGCCCTCCTGCTCCACGATTCTCAGTGCAGTCCAAATAACGCAGGTTAGTCCTTAGATTCATAGGGACTGCCTGAGGCAGTCCGTTCCAAACAGATTTTTTCATGCATAATATCAGTTCATCCATCTCATAAGCGTGGGCGACATCTGGAAGTGTTCCTCTGATGTCTCATAGTCACCTGTGACCATAGGCTCAGCAGTCCGTTTGAATTCAGAGTGCTCACAGCAGCTTGGAAAGCCAGCATGGGTAGTTCTCCTTCAAGAAGTGGGAAAAGCATCCAGGAGCAATTCTGAAAAAAAAAGTCATTAACACCCTACCCTCTCCCAGCGCCTCCCCAGGTGCTGGGTATGTTTTCTCCATTGCTACAAAATCAGTGTGTCCCATTCACAATTATAACTTTGTATTTTCAATCATCTCCTACTCTCACTAGGGCGTTTCATCCAGAAGGGTTATTATATGCAAGAGGGAAAAAAGCATTTTTACAGGAAAACATTTTTACACAACTTAATTAGAAAAACACATCATGGTAAGGAATTTGTCACAATGGCCCTGAATTTTCAAAGATTTTTTCAAATTGAGTTTATAGCCTCTTATCCCTTTAGTCACAGTCATTTATCCAGTGGCCAGCCTAGCACCCCAGAGAAGAGCAATTCCTTTCTGGGACAGCTGCATTTAACAATCAAATTGCCTTAATATTACAGGAAAAAAGGTGAGGGAAGTAGATTCAGGCTGTAAGTCAATTGTTGCAAATTGCAACCAGTCCAGAAATCTAAACACAAATCTACAGCAGTGGGACTTTCTCCAAAGGAGGTCCAGAGTCTGATCTGTCAGGAATGAGGAGAAGGGTCACAGTCACTGTCATGTGCCCAGTCCCAAACTGCAGTTAGGAATCCAACCAGTCTTTGTATATCTCTCTATATCAGAAATATACAGCCAATCAGCACCTCAATTTTAGATGGCTCCATCAGAATGGTCTAGCCAGTATTTATGACATTTTCATTGTTTGAGGCCCCCAAAAAGAGGTATCTTAAATCTGCAACAGTTGCAGAATTGGTGTTCTGTTTATTGAGCCTATGCCTGCTTTCAGTTTAGCACAGCTCATTCTGAGACTGAAATGGTCCATTAGAAGATAGTCAGGTTTTAGCTTAGCATCAGGTTCAGACAATTAAGATATGTGAATTCAGGATTCCAAAAAGTCAGTGGGAAGGGATGGTGAGAACAGTCTCAAAATCCAAGTTCCTAGATGCCAGCCAACAGCCAACCTTGCAAGCAGAACTAAGGATCGCAGTATTGGGCCTACTGTGTTGACTCTTTTTTGCACTAGTTTTTTCTAGCTAATATCTGCTCCAATTATATACTTATAGGCCTGAGAAATAACCACTTCGTAGGTCTGTTGACTCTTTGGACTCACTATGAAATGAATTTGGGCCCAGACTCCATGCATCTCTTGATCTCTATAAGCCGCCACTGTCACTGGAGGACCATGATGGTGTTTTAGGATACCTTGGATTAGAGGCAGCTCAAGAACTATATATAGCCTTCATTGAGAAGTCTAGATAATCCACTTTCCCAAGTGCAGTTACCCAGGAAAATGGCTGCAGATCTCTGATAGAAAGGCTAGAAGGGAGCATCAAAAGGCTATAGTTACAGTTTCATTTCTTCCTCAAAGGGAGTCAGCTTCCCCTTCAAACAGTGGGCTCTGATGTGGCAATCTGACTTAGATCTAAATACAATGTGAGAAACTGTGGTATAGTTTGGATGTTTGTCCTCTCCAAATCTCATATTGAAATTTGATTCCCAGTGTTGGAGGTGGGACCTACTGGGAGGTGTTTGGAGCAAGGGGCGGATCTCATAAACAGATTAGTGCCCTCCCTTGAGGGAGAGAGTGAGTTCTTACTCTATCCATTTCAGAGAGATCTGGTTGTTAAAAGAAGTCCCCTGCCCTCCTTTCTCCTCTTTTACCATGTGATCTCTGCACACAGTGGTTCCCCTTTACCTTTTGCCATGAGTGGAAGAAGCCTGAGGCCCTCACCAAAAGCAGGACTCAATAGTATAAGGCTATAATTTCTCTCCAAATTGATTTTTATATATCTCAGTTGCATATATGTAAATTTGATATATATATTATGTAGCGTAATATGTTATATATATTTGAAGAGAATTCATACATATATTCACATATAGACAATATATAGCATTCATATATATATTCACTCACATTCAAAGTCCTGATTTCTTTTTTAGAACTTGACAAGATGATTCTAAAATTAATATGGAAATGTAAAAATGCAGGAATAGCAAAGACTCATGACAGCATTATTCATAACAGCTAAAAACTGGAAACAATCCTCATATCCTTTAATTTTAGAATAAAAATTTAAATATAAATTTGAATTCAATTTAAAATAATTTATGTTATTTTTATGCAGCAGGGAAAGAGAACAAAGTTGAGTTACACACAACAAGGTGGATAAATCTCACAAATACAATGTTTAGTGAAAGAAGCCAGGCACAAAAGAATACATAATTATTATTCCACTTATATAAAGTTTTAAAAATATGTAAAACTAAGACTTAGATAATAAAGTTAACAAAGACAATGAAGGGATTATTATAAAAGTGATTATCTGAGCAGGAGAGAGGTAGTGGCAACTCAGATGAGCCATGAGAGTGACTTCTGAGTCATTGGCAATGTTTTGTTTTTTATTCTTTTGAGATGGAGTCTCACTCTGTCACCCAGGCTGGAGTGCAGTGGCATGATCTTGGCTCACTGCAACCTCTGCCTCCAGGGTTCAAGCAATTCTCCTGCCTCAGCCTCCCAAGTAGCTGGGATTACAGGCGCCCACCACCATTCCCTAGAAAATGGAAGAGCAGGGACTTCTTCAGAATATTTAACCACATGCTTAATATGCTTATATCAGATTACCATAAGTTTTGAACACTCATACAAATTATCAGTTATATCTTTGTTTGAACTCGTGGGCTCAAGTGATTATCCTTCCTCAGCCTCCAGAGTAGCTGAGACTACAGGTATGTGCCAACACACTCAGCTAATTTTTAAATTTTTTTGTAGAGATGAGGTCTCATTATGTTGCCTAGGTTGGTCTCTAACTCCAGGCCTCAAGGGATCCTTCCACCTCAGTCTTCCAAAGTGTGGGGTTACAAGTGTGAGCCACGACACCTGGCCCCACATTCCTGCTTTTAATCTGCCCTGTTTCTTTATTAAAAATCTGTCTCTCTTGTTTTGAGGTTGAGAAACTTTTTTTTTTCACAGACTTGTCCCAAGAATTATTAGAGTATTGTCCAATAGAAGGTCTCTACCATAGCTAAATGAAGAGATAACTTCAGGACTGATTCCTTTGTCAATTATTATTTCTGGTGACTTAAGATTGATTCTACTCCAGGAATTATAAGACAGATTTCTCACATTAATTTTCTTGAAATCAAACCCAGATGCAAGGGGCTTTTTGAAATCTGTCTTGGAGACTTCCATTGAGGAACTGTCTATCTATTTTTCTATTTCTGGGTTAGAATTATGCCACTCAGCCTTTTGCTAAGGGATAAAATAAACTCACTCTTAGGAAAGATAAGGAATGGGTGAATAGAATGTCTGGACTTAAGAATAAATATTCTATCTACTTGTTTGTAGTGAAGTCTAGATAATTTCTATGTACAGTATTTGAGGAAACAGGCTCAGATATGTGTATTGGTTTAGGCAGAAATTCTGAATTTCTGTTCAAGGAGGTACCTGCAAGCCAGCAAGAGCCCCTAGCTCTTTTTTTTTTTTTTCTGAGATGTAGTCTCACTCTGTTGCCCAGGCTGGAGCACAGTGGCCTGGTCTCTGCTTACTGCGACCTCCACCTTCTGGGTTCAAGAGATTCTCCTGCTTCAGCCTCCCGAGTAGCTGGGACTACAGGTGTGCGCCATTATGCCTGGCTAATTTTTGTATTCTTAGTAGAGACAGGGTTTCACTATGTTGGCCAGGCTGGTCTCGAACTCCTGACCTCATGATCCGCCTGCCTTGGCCTCTCCAAGTGCTGGGATTACAGGCGTGAGCCACTGCGCCTGGCCAAGCACCTAGTTCTTAAGTATAAAGACTCAGTAAAGGGAAAGCACCATCCAAGTGAGCCAAAATTCACTCAAGGTGAACCTAG